ACAGACAGACAGACAGACATGCATGCAGAAACATGCCGACATACATACGAACGCCGGCATAATGTAATGCGAGCATATGCCATAGCCATAAGTACAAAGTACACTACTTCCAATTCCAGTGGTATTTGCTATTCGTATGACTACTACAGTTATATGTACATATGCAAATAAGGATGGCAGCACGCATGCCAACATGCACGCATGTGGTTGTTTGTTCTCATGAAACTTTACATTTGAACAGCATTGTGCAAACACGTACATCAGCTAGTGACCCGCACGAGTACGCAAACATACAAACGCAACCATATGCATCCACGTAATTAGTAATCTGTAACTGCGAACGCAAACTGACACTAATGAACCTGAAAAACCGTTGCGTGTGACACGCGCGCACACACACACACATCATATGCACATGTAAACACATTCGGCGAACATACCAATCCACATAATGACATATAATACAATCTATATCACACGCAGGAACAGGCTAGACACAAAGAGATAAATGCCTGAAGTGAAAAGACGTTCAAACCAAAACCAACCCCTGCCGACATCCCTGTAAAGCAACAACCTGCAACCTAAACCATACAGTAATAAACCGGACATTGTAGAGCCCTTCTAAAGCCGCATAGATCGAAAAGTCCGGCTGGAATCAACCTGCCTCCCCTTGCACTCTCCCCCCCCCCTAAGCCCCTCAACCCTAAACCCCTAAACCCTAATTAAACCCTAAACCCTGATTATATGAATCCTAAACTCGAAACCCCTAACCGCCCTATGTGAACCCTAAACCCCGACCCGGCAAGGAGAAACTCCCTCCGACTCTCGCTAAAGCCCGAAACCGAAACCCCTAAAACCCTGAACCCCAAAACCTCTAAACCCTAAGCCGACAAGATCGAAACCCTAAATCCCTCACCCCCCTATATGAACCCTACCTAGATAAACCCTAAGCCCACAAGGACAAACTCCAAGGCACCCTAAACCCTAAACCCCTAAACCCTAAACCCCCTGAGCCCTAAACCCCTAAACCCTGAACCCTGAAACCTAAACCCTAAACCCTAAACTTCTGAACCCCTAAACCCTAAACCCTGAACCTCTATTAACCCTAAAACCCTAAAACCTCAACCCTAAACCTATAACTCCAAGGCACTAGCAGCCCGTGCTCGCGGACGGAAGCGCGAGCACTGGACTCGGCCAAGGCGCTCGCCGCCAGGGCATCGGGGCTGCCGGCCTGATCTCGGTTTAGGGTTTAGGGTTTAGTCTATTAGGGTGTAGGGTTGAGGGTTTAGGGTTGAGGGTTTATAGGGCTTAGGGTTGAGGGCTTAGGGTTGAGGGCTTAGGGTTGAGGGTTTAGGGTTGAGGGTTTAGGGCTTAGGCTTCAGGGCGGCCGTTTTGCTATGTTTTTATGGTTTGTCAAGAGGCGCTTGGTTTCTAGAAAGGTCGTGGTTGTTCGGTGTCTTGTTGGTTCCGTTTGCTTTTTTTTGTGTGTGACCACTCCCGAATCGGCACTAGGGAGAACGAAAGTTGCGCTATGGAAGATCTCGCTTGAAACTTGCAGGGGGCAGGAGCACGGCCATGGGTCTCCTGCTAACAAAGATGCCCGTGGTTCGTGGTGAGGCAGTTGGAGACGTCCAACTGTGTACCTGCAGTGATTCGTGATGTATTGCATTATCCTCGCTGTGCATTGTTACCGTCATCGCTGTTGCTTGAACCACTTCGACAAGAGCAGCTTGTCAACAACAGTAACAGCTGAAATCCTGACAGGTTTCCCAAGTGCTGAGGTCTGTACCATTATGACCACTACCGGCGACATTCCATCGGAACACTCCAGTGTGAGGACTTGTGTCCAATAGGCGGAGGATTCCGGAATCATAGTCGGCTTTGAGACGACAGTTGCAGGGTGCTTGACCAGCAAGACAACGCTTCTTGGAATGCTTTCCGTCAGCTGGGCAGGTGAATACAGCAAGCTTGATTGTGGTGACTTCGGTAAAAGTTCTTGGTGTCCTGTTCTGAGGCCTTTGAACCCCAGTTACTGTGTAAACGTGGAGCACGGAACATCTTCCCTTGTGGCAAAATTTATCGATAGCAGCATCTTGGTGCCTATCCCAGTGATTTGGGATAAAGCGATTTGGAGTGGAGCTGTGACACCTCTGCCTGCACCTCGGTAATGTGAAGAGCTCAGCTGTCCTGTCCAATAAGTACATGTTTCTCGGTAGGCGTGAGGTGACTTGGACATGGTTCTTGAAACACAGCATCGATTCTTGTTCTGCTGCATTTCGTTTGTAGCGAAATTGCACCCTGGAGCTTTCCCTCTAGGTCCGAATTGCATCATCCGCCTCTCCGTAGGCGGTTGTGTGTGTGACCACTCCCGAATCGGCACTAGGGAGAACGAAAGTTGCGCTATGGAAGATCTCGCTTGAAACTTGCAGGGGGCAGGAGCACGGCCATGGGTCTCCTGCTAACAAAGATGCCCATGGTTCGTGGTGAGGCAGTTGGAGACGTCCAACTGTGTACCTGCAGTGATTCGTGATGTATTGCATTATCCTCGCTGTGCATTGTTACCGTCATCGCTGTTGCTTGAACCACTTCTATAAGAGCAGCTTGTCAACAACAGCTGAAATCCTGACAGGTTTCCCAAGTGCTGAGGTCTGTACCATTATGACCACTACCGGCGACATTCCATCAGAACACTCCAGTGTGTGGGGGGGTTCGAAACACGTTCTGGTTTGTGGGTGCCTTAACCACTCGTTGATGAAACCCTAAACCACTCCTAAACCCGAAACCCCAACTCTTAATGTAGGAGCCTTAATAGTTAGAATAGGGTTTCGGGGTCCTTTATAGTATAGTTATAGCAAGGAACCCCAAAATAGTGTAGGTAATTATCTAGGCCCCTACACTAACCTAAGTCCCCAGACTTGAGAGTTGCAGCTTGCGGGTCTCAGAGGGGTTTAGAGGGCAGTGCGAGGGATGAACAGGCTTTCGGGTGAAGGACTTAGGTTTAATGTTTAGGGTTTAGGGCTTAGGGTTTAGGGTTTAGGGTTTAAGACTTATAGGTTTAGGGGTAAAGGGGATTGGTTTTGAAACGTTATCGCATGGCTTGCTTTAGACGTGCATGAAGCGTCCTGGATGCAGTCTCGCGGCTTTCAGGCTGCTTAAAGCCCTCAAATATCGAACCCAAACCGGAATACTCTAAACCCTAAAGCCCTCACCCCCAAATCCATAAACCCCAAACCCGAAACCCTAATCACCCTAAATCTCGTTTCACGCTCACATAGCTTTCTGCTGCTTTAGGCTTTCGGGATCCATGTCGTCCGGGAGGGCGGGGGATGGCAGTGTTGATGATATAAATGAAATCCTGCAATACCTTAAGGACCCAAAACTATGGGAATCATGGTATATTCTGTATTTTGAGTAATGCAGGAGTTGTATCATCAACCGTGCGTCATCTGAGGGGTTTCGGAGCCGGACTTACTGTATCTATCCTAAGCCTTCTTTGGGCTCAGGGCTACAAGGCTTCTGGGCGATGTGGACCTGAGGTGCTGTCGCTTTTCAGTGTATGGCCTCATAGGTATAGGCTACAAAATTTCTTCACCAAGCCCCTAAACCCTAAACCCTAAACCTTAACCCCTAAACCCTAAACCCTAAGCCCTAAGCCCGGCCCCCACCCCAGGATCCTTCAGCCCCCAGCCAAAAAACCCCAAACCCTAGAAGGTTAAACACAAATCTCTAAAGTGACGACGCGCAAACCAACACCAAACAACCCGTAAACCCGAAAGCCACAACCTGAGCCCCAAACCCAGCACCTACTACACATAATGTAGGGGCCTCAACAATTACCAATAATACTATTTTGGGGTTCCTTATTATAGATATAGTAAAATCTGCCCCAAAACCCTACTCTAATTTTGATTATTAAGGCCCCCATAGTAACGAGGTATGACACAGCATGTCTGCACCTCATAGAGCTTCCGCATAACGGAGAAATTCCTTCGTTGGGGAGGTTCTTGGGCTTCACGGTTTAGGCTTCAGGGGTTTAAGGGCTTTCCAGGTTTAGGAGAGTTTACGGGTTTAGGGCTAACCATGAAGCTCAAAATGGCCGACAAGCATTAAATAGATGGTCTAACTTTGGCCTCAAAACAAGCCCTAAACCCCCACCAACACTAGTAGAAGTAATGATAATACTGCATCGATCTCTTTGCCAGCTTCTTCGTCGAGCCCTTTCAACCCGAAACCCTAACCCTTAACACCTGCATCCTACACGGACCCTTCCGGTACCCTAAACCTTGAATAGCATTCCTTATAGAGTCTTCTGCATAATCACACTAGACCATGCCAAAACCCTCGTCTACTCCCTAATGTTCTTGTACAACTAGACCTGGAAAACGATAGCTAAATGCTGAACATGCGACTTTCAAGCTTCAGGGTTTACGTCAATGGGTATGGCGCTCAGCAAGTTTAGGCTAAGGGGTTGAGGGCTTCGGGCGATGCAAGAATGCTGGTACCGTCAAAAACCAGCAAGAAGCGAATTGAGAGGAATCGCACAACATAGCTTCCAGTCGAATGCACAAAAAAACTTTAAAACCCATCTGAACCCTGAGCGCAGAATTTAAGTAAGAATTACGAAACTCAACATCGTCGAAGGTACCGTGTCAACCCCCGGAGCTCCGCGTATCCAAGATTCCCGATGTAGGGCACGCCGGGGAAAAAGTCCAGGACTGGGAATCCAAAGAGCTTGAGGAAGTCATCGTGAAGCTCCTGCACGGCCGAAGAAAGCAGACACGGGACTTGGCGGTGCGCAATATTCTTACTACTGCTACTGCTACTACTACTAATAATAATAAATAATAATAATAATACTAATACTGCTAGCACTACTAGCACTACTAGCACTGCTAGCACTACTACTGCTACCGCTGCTACTACTACTACTACTACTACTACTACTGCTACTCCTGCTGCTGCTGCTGCTGCTACTACTACTACTGCTACAACTACAACAACAACAACAACAACTACTACTACTACTACTACTACTACTACTACTACTACTATTACTACTACTACTACTACTACTACTACTACTACTACTACTACCTACTGCTTCTACCCGTTACTGCCCCCCTGAACGCTCAAACCCAGTGCCCGAAGCCCTCGAAATCCCTGGACCATAAGGCCACCAAAACCATCAAGGCTCACGCAAGAACCTTTTGCAACCGCATGCCAACCCTTACAGGTTTTTTTGGCATTGGGGTTTATGACCTTCATGGGGTCATTTCATGGGGATGAGATCGGGGACCCCATGGAAACGTGAAGGGGTTTCAGAAAACGCTGCAGTAACATAGGGGCATTAAGAGAAGGTGTTTATAGTAAGTAAGGTCTCTATGGGTTTTTCAGGCGTCACACTCACTGGTACTATTTTTCTTCCTCATTCGTGCTAGTGACTGCAAATATTGTTCCTGCTCCTAGCCATGCTGTAAGGACTACATGTTCGCCCTCCTGTGTCCTAGTATCAAAAGTACTCGTCATTGTACAGGTCCTGTTCCTGTCATTTTAGTTTCAATTACCGGGCCCAGAACCGCACAATTTTCTTTGCATTAGTGGCGATTTAGCCTATCCGTTAATGCCCTCAATTCCAAACATTTACCCTTCTAAACCACTAGCCACAAGAGTTCTAAAGCTGTAAGCACTAAACACCATAAACGGAAGAAGAATGCCGGAAGCATCACATACACTTGTGCCTGGATTCCTGATTATTACTATACTCTCGAACCAACTGTCAACGGCCCTTTTACGAAAAGACGCTTTGACCCCTAGACGGAATCTAGACTGAGTTGCTGAATTCATAAGCCCCAAAAAATACACTTTCTTCAGTTCTGTAAGGAGTAATGCTGTACCCCAAAGTGTAAACTGAATTCAACTACTACGTAGATCGGAAATCGAGAACTCTGAACTCAGGGCTGGAATTCGGTCCTGCGTCCAAAGGCCCACCGGGAAGGCGGTTGCTGCCTATGAAGTATATGTTCAGAGTTTTCGGAGTTTGGCTAGGAGATGAAGTTTCGATCAAGGGCTCATTGAGTTTAGGTTTAGATTTTGCCCTCTCGATGTGTAGACAAGTTCGCCGAAACTCTGCAGGTACCAAAGCATGGCTTCCATCGGCTGCCTTCGTGACAGCCCCCTCCCTGTTTGACGAGACCAAAAATGGCGCTGCGAAACAGAGTCTCTGACGCACGACTCCTGCCCAATCTTTACGCACGCGGCTTCAGGAACGCCAAGAGGCCGAGAGGTCCTGGCGAAGCAGTTGCGACGAGCCAACCAGCTGTGCACACGGGAAATACTCGTCAGTGTTGCCATCACATTCCGCATTGCCCGAGCTCACCAGGCCAGATGGAACTATAGTAACTGTAGAAGCTTTTGCGACCGAGGCAGACGCGCGCTCAACGAACCCATCCTCAGAAACAGCATCGCTGCCATCAGTCCGAGAGCCCTAGAAGCAGCTACACGTGTGATAAGAGTGAGCATTCTGGCTGCGCAACGGTAAGCCGCAACGGCCCTTGCCGGAACCACCGTCGGACGACCCGCTACCGGCGTTAACTTACAATTGTTATAATGGCGCAAAGCGGAAGCTCAACAGCTCCAAGCACAACAGCAACTCGATTAAGCGTCACACGCCATGATCCCGGTGAGCCATCGGCGCAAGACGGTGAACCTTCACATACAAAATGCACCCGGAGTCCAAGACAACGGTGCGTCACCGCATCAAGCAAGAGCTGAAACACCATGTGCTCGCAGCCGCAGTTACACAGACAAGCCCTGCCCTTCATTCTTGACAACTCTGTCGTCCTGTCATCGTGCTTTCGCAAAACACGCTACTTTGAATGCTGTGGCTGAGGATCACACCTTCATTCATGCGCGGAGCCTGGAACAGTAAGATGATACAGCACACAAAACAGAAGCTCTCTGACACGTCGACCACGCCACGCACGACAACAATAAACTCAGCAGAAGTCTGAGAGACGCATGCGGTGGGAGCATGACGTATTTTGACACCTACTCCAGAACTTTCAGCGCTTCTGTATCCTTGAACTCCAGCTTGCCAACGAGGAGGCCGTAACAACCAGGCTTCCATGTCTTCACCCCGTGCGCTTCGCATGGTTTGTGATCATGCGCATACATCAGGCCATGAGTAGCCCTTGCGCAGTGAACATTGGCTGGTTGTGCTTCATGGTCGGGACGGGCACTGGCTTGGCCCTCATTCGAGCTAGTCCAGATTCTGGACAATAGGGCTTTATGAAAGAAGTACATAGGACGTGACTTATGGTCCTCATTCAGGAACCATGTCCTTCCAGGTCTTTCAGTTTTCTTGACAGTGGCTAGTTTGGGGCACGTGAGGTCGAAGCCGCAACCGAAATCATGGACAGCAGCGACGTGCTCAAACTTGAACGGCACGGTTTAGGGTCTTGGTGTGCAGAGCTAGGGGACTGGCATAATTAGCTGCCAAACCTATGGAACCGTGACACTAGTATAAAAAAACAATCTCAATGCTCTCATCCACAAAAAACAACACCCACACCCTATACACCTAAATCCTAAAACCCTATATAATACCTGCAGTGCCCAAGCTAACGAACCCACACATCCCATATCCAAAGAACTGCGAGCTTTAAAGGACACTTAAACCTCAGCGCTAACGGGCTCTTGGGAGCCAGAACCCTGCAGCCGAAAAGCTCAGCGAAAACTAAAATATCTAAATCCCGTTCGAATTTCGTTGTCATTACACCCCGTTATGGAAGGGAAGTAAAGTACTAGTTACTAGGGCACGCCAGCACGAGAGCGTGCAGTTTAGGATCACCTGCGTTCTACTGGCCAGGAAGCTTTCTGCGTCACTGACATCAGTTGGCCCTAAACCCCAAACAGCCATGTATGTCAACTTCCGACGATCGACCTACAACCCGGTTAAGGTTTAGGATTTAGGGTTATTAGGGTTTAGAAGCCTTCGAACCTTCAACTTTGACACAAACGGTTGAGCTACAAAGAAAGACGGATCCAACATCAATGCGAGAAGGGTTAAGGGTTGAATGTGTTCTGATCCCGAGTTCAGCGAGTTTGGGATGTTGGGAACGTGACCCAGTTTGCTTAAGGAAAACCGTCGAAGCCTGACAAAACTATTCGCACTTCTCCCGCCTTGTATTAGAGTTGGCACCTCGAATACCACATACCTGAGAAACCCTCTCCTAATTATTCAGGCCTCGACGTTGCACAAGAATCGAATCCCAGACCCTCGGACAGAAATCCAAATCCGAACTCAACTCTTCTGCCAAGACCTTGACATCCACATCCAGACTCAACTCTTCTACCAAGACCTTCAGTGAAACCTGCCCGGGACGGTTTAGGGTTTAGGGTTTAGCTAGGTAAGCTGTACTGATTCACCCCATGTAAGCCCTAAACCCTAAAACTGTAATTACTCATTCACCTATGCTCTAAACCCTGAACCCTAAAACTCTACTCGTTCAGCCTAAACACTGAATAAGTTCGGGAAAAGCTTCAACCCCTGCAAGACCCTGCAAGCTTACGTAAACAAGAACGTACACACCACTGTCGGAGAGAAGAGTGAGATACCTACAAGTGTTAGAAAAGTGGGTGCAATTCTAGGAATCTGAACCGAAACACTAAACCAAAACACTAAACCCCGAACCTAAAGCCTAAACCGTTGCCTGTAGGCCAAAACCATACGAAAAGAAGCGGGTTGTGACCTTTCATCACCGGGCCTTACCCTCAGAACGGGAGGTTAGAGCCGTAAACCCCTCAACCATTAGGGTTTAGGGTTCAGGGTTTAGGGTTTAGGAACAACCATAACGAGCCTACTTGGAGGATCATGGGACTTAGTAAGTAAGGTTATACTATTATAAGTCCCCTAATTGGGGTTATAAGTGTAGTTTTCTTAGTTATACAAGTCCCATGATCCTTTAAGCAAGCCCCAAACTCTAAACCCTAAACCCTAGACCCTAAACCCTAAACTCTTGACCCCATGCCCCAAGTTCCTAGGTTCCAAAGGGCTCCATGGTTGGCACTGGGAAGTTGATCAGGAACCTAAGACCACAAAAAGGGAGAAATTGCCCAAATGGAACCTAAACCCTGAACCCTAAACCGCTAAACCCTAATGCCCCTATCCCCTAAACCCCTAAACCCCGAAACCCTAAACCCTACAGACCCCTAAAACCCTAAACCCTAAACCCCGAAACCCCTAAACTCTATAGACCCCTAAACTCTATAGACCCCTAAAACCCGAAACCCCTAAACTCTATAGAACCCTAAACCCTAAACCCCGAAACCCCTAATCTATAGAACCCTAAGCCCTAAACCCTAAACCCTAAAACCCGAAACCCCTAAACTCTATAGACCCCCAAACCCTAAACCGCTTAAAACCCAGGGCCTTGTGAGCACGCTCGAGCCATGACGCCAGCCTGCCCAGGAAGCCCTCTTCGGCGAAGATCTCCTGGCTTTGGGATTTAGGGTTTAGGGTTTAGGGTTTTAGGGATTTAGGGATTTAGGGTTTAGGGTTTAGGGATTCAGGGTTTAGGGTTTTAGGGTTTAGGGTTTAGGGATTTAGGGTTTAGGACTTGGGATTTAGGGTTTAGGGTTTAGGGATTTAGGGTTTAGGGTTTAGGGTTTAGGGTTTAGGGTTTAGGGATTAGGGTTTAGGACTTGGGATTTAGGGGTTTGGGGTTTAGGGATTTAGGGATTTAGGGTTTAGGGTTTGGGGTTTAGGGTTTAGGGGTGTCTAGAGTTTAGGGTTTGGGATTTCGGGTTTAGGGCTTCGGGGTTGTTTGGAGTGTACTTAGAATCGGGTTTAGGGTTAGGGTTAGGTTTTAGGGCCTAGGGCGTAAAACGCTGTCTAGGATCAGGCATAGGATCTGGCCTTTACGTGTGCATGCGGGGATGGGACCCGCGACTCAAGGCTTGGGGCTACATGATGCGGCTGTCTCCTGCTCGTTTAGGGCTAGCAGCTTCGATTCGAAACTTGAGGTTTAGTGCTGTGTTCATGCATTCGAGATTACTATAGGAACCTACAACATGAATCCCAGTATATTAGGCTTGTAGGGCCAGGTTTCCCAATCAGATTCCTACATTAGACTTCAGACTGGCAATTCAACTGTTGCAAATGACAACCAAACTGCGCGGACGGCGTAGTCATCTAGACTATCATCCTGCTCCTGTCTTCATCGTCATCATGATCGTCATCTTCCATAAAACCTACTCTCTTTTTCAACAACCAGGGCCAAACAAGTTCAAACTTTTCGGATAAACCTAATTTTAGAAGGCTGAAAAGTTGAAAGTTCTCCCATTGGCTATCTAATTCTAAACCCTAAACTCTAAACCCTAAACCCTAAACCCTACCTCAAGCAGCCTGGTACATCCCCACACGGCCGTCCTCGGCGGTGAGCAGACGACCCTGCCCATGATTTGGGGCCGCAGCCAAAAGGTCCCGAAAAGCATCCTTGGCCGTGTACTTCAGGCAGCTCTCCGCCCACTCCCTGAAAGGAGCTAACGTGGGGGCCTTAATAATTAGAATAGGGTTTTGGGGGCCCATTATACTACCATTATAATAAGGACCCCCCAAAATAGTATTGGCAGTTTTTTAGGCCCCTGTATTAGACTTGCCTCAGCTTCTTGGGCCAATGCGGCCGCGGCCGCATGATGCACTCGCCAGTGCTCGAGAAGTCGTAGCCACCTTTGTATTGTTTAGGGTTTAGGGTTTAGGGTTTTATGCGACAAGATTTATTTATGCTTTGAAGTTCAAGGAAAGATGCATTGTCACGCTTTAAGGGTTCATAGGGCTTGCAACTTAAATCAGCTACTAAGCCACCCTCCTCGGGTGGTCGCTGCATCTTAAGCCAGTAGCCGGGACCCCCGTCCTGCAGCGTCCGGTTCTTCGGCGCGTAGACCTCCCGGTTGCGGAGGAGTCGCTTTGCATCCGGGTCGGGATCCAGCCATGCGCTCAGCGTGTATTGGTCGAAGCAGCTTTGGAGGACCCTATACCTGGGCTCTGAAGTCACGGTTTGGGGTTTCGGGTTTGGGGTTTAGGGTTTAGGGTTTGGGGTTTAGGGTTTGGGGTTTAGGGTTTAGGGTTTAGGTAGAAACTTGCACTTCGGCAAGGTCCCTTTAAGCGAAAAGGAAGAAAGTATAGTACTCCAGAATCCAGATACCGCACAGGCAGGTTTTGCTCTCGGTTTTCAGGGTACTGCTGCACTGCCCAGACATGCTGTGTGTGGCTCCCAGATGTCATCATATACCAGAAAATCTCCTGCGAGTATACAAGGGGAATTTGAGGGGACAACAGTACAAGTCAGGAAAACACACTGTGCTACAGACCCTGGCATGTGCAACCCGAATCATATTCCCATATTTCATCCCTAAACACTAAACCCTAAAACCCCAAACCCTGAACCCCAGCAGACCCTAATTTTAAACCCCCAAACTTTATACCCAAATCCCAAACTCCAAATCCAAAACCTACAACCTAAGCCCTAAACTGGCAATCCAAAACCGAAACACTAAACCCCAAACCCTAATCCCTAAACCCCCAAACCCTATAGGTTTTAGGGCCAAATCCCTAAGCCCGAAACCCCAAGCCACCTCCTTCGAGTGCCTCCGTTGAGCGAAGCTGTTCAGCACGTCCTCACGCGTCTGCCACAAAGGCCAGGTCGACACACTCGGGATCTTCAAAAGCAACTCGCCTTCGTCTCTATACTTCTTAGGGTTTATAGTAGCCAAAGATTAAAAATTATTTCTAAGTACCCCTAAGGTCTAGGGTATGAGGGTTTAGGGGTTTGGGTGTTTAGGGGTTTAGGGTTTAGGGTGTCTTTTTATCGGCATAAGGGTTTAGGGTTTAGGGTTTTAGGGTATAGGGTTTGTAGGGCTTGCAGGGCTTGTAGGGCTTGTAGGGCTTATAGGGTTTAGAGTTTAGGGTCTAGGGTCCAAAAGCCGTTAAGGTATACCTGCAGTGACCAAGGTACCTTGACAAGAACACGTGCCTGGTTACTCTACAGACCCGAAACTTATTTGGGTATCATGAATACGATTTAGCTGTACTTAAGCTAGTTGCCCTAAACTTTTCACCCTAAACCCTAAACCCCTAAAACCCTAAAACCCTAAACCCTAAACCCATCTTAAACCCTACGAATCTGAAGGTGTATTGCTTCATAGCCCGGCTTTTGCGTCTCTGCCTTCGATCCCCAGGTGCAACTCTGCCAGCCAGCTGACCTGGGTTGTTGTTAAGGAGAAGGGTTTAGGGTTTAGGGTTTAGGGTTCAGGGTTTAGGGTTTAGGGTTTAGGGTTTAGGGTTTAGGGTTTAGGGTTTAGGGGGTAGTAGAAGCCACAAAGTTGGAACCCTTAGGGTCCAAGTACCTAATAATCATATACTCTCCCAAATATTAACCTAAATGACTACTATCCGCAACCAAAGTACCTTATTATTGGGTCCTTTGGACCCTTAGGAGAAGGGTTTGTAGTAGAAGCCATAAAGTTGAACGTTGAAGTCCCCATGCCCTTAACGTAAAGTATAAGGGATCCTAGCACAAATCATCCTAAACCCATGTTCCAACTTTCTGAGTTTGGGGTAGGAATGAGAGTTTGGGGTCTGGGGTCTAGGGAGTAGGGATTCTGGTTTGGGGCTTTGGGTTTCGGGTAGAGGGTTTAGGGTCTAGAGTTTGAAAGTTCGGGGTTTAGGGCTTAGGATGGAGTTAAGCTACCAGTTATCGAACACATTTTTGACGAATGCATTACATATACATAATCAATGTGCCTTCAGGTTCTGTTATAAGTTCATAGCTGAGCTATTACAGTACTCGTGACTCGTGCATAGCAAAAGCTGTCTCCCTCTGTATCACAAGTAACTGAAGCGACATGAGCTCAGTGACTGTCGGGCCACAGGCGGCCTCAGTGCCATTTGCGGCCGTATGCTGGAGGATGTTTGTGGCGAGCTTCTGCCGGGCAGAAGTGCTGTCGAGGACGCTGTCGGCCCCCCCGGAAGACGAAACTGCCTGGCTTGGACAGTCTGCAGTCATGTACATATACATGTATATATATATATATACACATACACATATACAAAGGTGGTTCAGGGTTTAGGGTCTACCCTAAACCCTAAACCCTAGACCCTAAACCCTATGGTTCAGGGTCTAGGGTTTAGGGTAAACAAGGGGTTCCGACGGGAAGGAAGCACCTCCGTGAAGAGCTGTATCTTCTGGAGCTGCCGAAGGCTCAGCTTAGCGTCGAAGCGCATGAGCTTCCGGACCTCATGGGTTTAGCGCTTAGGGGTTTAGGGTTTAGGGTTTAGGGGTTTTGGGGTCTAGGGTTTGGGGTTCAGCACTTAGGGCCCTAGGGGTTTAGGGTTTAGGATTTTGGGGTTTAGGGTTTAGGGGGTTGGGTTGGGGTCTCTGGACCTCATGGAAGCAGCCGTCAACAGAAGAAGCTCCTTCCCCCTCGCTTGCACTTTTGGTTTCCCCTCGAAGCTGAAGGAGACGCAAGCCGACATCGTCACCGGCAGCGGCGAAGCTTTCACCAAGGATGGGGCAGTTTGTATCCTCAAGCGAACCAGGTGCGGCCACAGAAAAGCCCAGCGCTAGGGCAAGCCCAAGGCAGGACCAGGCCATCCCACACTTTCGAGATCTATGTGGGTGGTTGTCAAAATTATGGATCCCTTTTTGGGTCCTTATTATCATACGGCACCTATTATTTATGGTCCCTTTTTGGGTCCTTATTATAATACGGCACCTATTATTTGGGGCACCCCAAATTGGACCATAATTTTGACAAGCTACCCATGGTACAAGTGAGCCCTACTATGAGCCCTTCGATGCCCACGGCTGCCAGATCTCAAGAGCTGCACAGATGCCCGCTTTTAGGGTTTAGGGTTTAGGGTTTAGGGTTCGGTATTTGAGGGGCCTACGTGGAGTCTACGTGCAAGCAAGTGCCGATCTGATGTCGGGGCCTTCCTTCATCATCAGAGTAGGGTTTTGGGCTCCTGTGCAGTAGATTTATAATCAAGAACCCTGCGGAATAATGTGGGCAGTTTTGCTTGCTTAGCTCGATCCCCCAAGACATGTGCACCCCCTTTAGGGTCGTCGGAGTGCATATGGACAGCTCTCAATTCGAGGGTTACTTTCGCAGTCTTCCTGGAACACGAAGACCGGTAAGGTGCAATTTAGAGCTACCGACACTCTAAACCCCTCAAACCCTCAGCCCTAAAACCTATTTAGAGCCCAACAGACAAACTTCTTTCAACGAAAGAAGGCTGGAGCTTGGTGGCTCTACGGTCTATCCTCGTATGTAGCCCCCCCCTCAACACAATCCTGAAACTCCCAGTATATCCCGAAACCCTGCGTCCCTAAATCCGAAAGCCTTGACGCCTCCCTAATTCAACATATCCTCTGGAACTTTGTATTTTTTCATTCTAAAACAACAAGAACCCTAAACTAATCAAACCTGAAAAAGACCCTAAAAATCCTTTAACTTGAATAGGGAATGTTGAAACAACCCTCCAGCACGTCTTGGAGGCCTCGAAAGGTGGGATAAAGGTGGGTAGGATCAAGGAGCGCTTATATAAGGACCCTTATTTTGGGATTACCCCACCAAATGTAGGGAATACCATTTTAGGGGCTCCTGATTTAAATTATACTATCAAGGATCACAACGCCTCCAAGAACCCGTTTGTGGAGGGCTATTGGTGTTTAAGGTTCGGGATTGTAGGGTCTCCCCCTCTCCCCCTCTCTCTCTCTCTCTCTCTCTCGTTGCTGGTTTATCTACACAGCTGTCAGGGTTTAGGGTTTAGGGTCAAGCCATGTATCGATCATCATCTTGTTCATGTGGCGATGAGACGATCTGCATTTCTAGTCCCTCTCGCTCTCTCAGTGCGGCTCTCATCTTTCCCCGTGCAGTGCGTCAATGCAGGACTCGGAAATATTAGAAAAGGGTTGATAAAGGTGGATGCTTTAGCATAGTATATCCCAAGAATCGATGCTAAACTTTAAACCCCTAAACCCTGATTCCTAAACTTTAAACCCCAAGCCCTAACATGAAGGCGCGCCCATAATTTCATGGGGAGAATCAAAGGGCTCCAAGGGTGGCATGAAAGCAATATAGGGGCCTTGATAATTAGAATAGGGTTTTTATCTTACCTACGGTTTTCATGGTAGTGCTCCTTGTGGTTCACCAGTTTTGAGGTGGGACCCTTCAGTCAAGAACAAGGTAAAGCCCCCAACAAAAAACTCTAAACCCTAAACCCTAAACGCTCAACCCGAAACCCTAAACTCCAATGGCTGAATCACAATGCTCCGGCCCAGCATCCCAAAGGCTCCACGCTAAACCCTCAGGGTTTAGGGTTTAGGGGTTTAGGGGTTTAGGGCTTTAGGGGTTTAGGGGTCTAGGGGTTTAGGGTTCTGGGGGTTAGGGGTTTAGGGTTTAAGTTTTTGGGGGTTTAGGGTTTATAGGGTTATAAACCCTAAAGCTCCAATGTTTCGATCGCAAATCGGATGCTGCTGCGCGCTTTCGCTCAGAGCTCAGAGGAGGACCTGTCTAGTGTAGGCTTCGGGTGTAGGGCCGAGGGTTTAGGGTTTGTGGTTTGGTTTAGGGTTTGGGTTTAGGTTTAGGTTTAGGTTTAGGTTTAGGGTTTAGGGTTTAGGGTTTAGGGTTAAGGATTTAGGGGTTTAGGGCTTGGGGTTTAGGGTTCGGGTAGAGGGATGAAGAGTTCGAGCTTAGGGTTCGGTTTAGGGTTTTTTTTAAGTGCAACGGCCTTTCACACAGTTTGCGCGTCTTGCCCGCCTCATCGAGGCGTACACCAGAAAGGTAGAGAGGCTCAACACCCCTTATGTCACCGGTTTAGGGTTTAGGGTTTAGGGTTTAGGGTTCGGTTAGAGAGCTGTTGTGATTTAGGGTTTAGGGCTTAGGGTTTAGGGGTTTAGGGTGAGTTTACCCTGAGAGTTTAAAAGGGATTCATCGAACATGTTCAGGGATGTGTGGCATTTCACAGGGGTGGACAGGATTCTTTGGGCACCTTTGAATGCAAGAGGTTGAGGTTTAGGGTTTAGGGTTTAGGGTTTAGGGTTTAGGGTTTAGGGTTTAGGGTTTAGGGTTTAGGGCAGTTTGCCTGTTCGAGATTTAGGCTGTAGGATCTCAGGAGCCCAGCTACCTGCGGCTAACATAGGGGCCCTAATAGTTAGAATAGGGTTTTGGGGTCCATTGTACATAGTTCTAATGAGGAGCCCCCAAAATAGGACAGGTAATTATTTAGGCCTCTATATTATAGACAGAGGGTCAACATTCGGGGGGCAAAGTTAGCAATCTCGTCTGAAGGGTTAACTGTTTACTTGCCCCGAAACCCTAAACCCCAAGCCCCTAAACCCTTTAGGGTTTAGGGTTGCTTCAGCAGGCATGGGAAGTGCAACCGAACTACGTCCGTTCCTCACGCACGCCCTCGGGAGGCAACGAAATTCATCACTCACTCCATGAGGTGCTGATGGCGTGCAGCTTCGACAGCAAAAACTGTCTGAACGCCGCCGGCGCAAGCGACATGCACACATGTTGCAACATGTACAGTGTGCCAGGCGCCTCAGCAGCATGCAGGCGTGCATGGACGCCAGCTTCCTTTTCAGGGTTGCAACCCCCTTCATTCGCATGAGGCGCTGAGTGGCCTGTGCAGGGCGTCTCCTAGCAAGGCTGTAAACGCCTGTTGCTTGGCTTGTTCCAGAGTCGGGAAGTCTCCAATTTCGACAAGGTCTGCGGCCAAACGCATGCCCCGAAGGATGTCACAACTTCGAAAGCTGTCACAGAAAATCCTAAACCTTGAACCCCAAACCCTAAACCCTAAGAGCTCGTAAAATTCTCCTTCGAAGCAACGTAGACCTATGGTTGCTGAACCCCACGACCCCGAAAGTCCTTAGCCCCGTCTCACCTGCACCGCAACACCTCATGGCAGTTAAGAGGTAGTTTAGGGTCTGGCCTGGGACATGGCTTTCGACTTCAGGGTCAATATTTTAGAGATCTTGCTATGCGGAGCTTGGGTCGAGGCTCTGTTTGGCGCTGAGCGGCGTAGGCTCTGCATACTTAAAGGATCATGGGACTTAGTAAGTAAGGTTATAAGCCCCTAATTGGGGTTATAAGTACAGTTACCTTAGTTATAACCCTACTTACTAAGTCCCGTGATCCTTTAAGTAGGGTTCATTCAGGGCCCAGGGCCCCTCAGAGGTTTTATTGTTCAGGGTCTATATATATACAGTACGGGCCTTAATAATTAGAGTAGGGTTTTGGGGTTCCTTATTCTAGTTATAGTACAAAATACCCCAAACCTTACTCTAATTATTAAGGCCCTATATATACGGGCTTTGTACGTAAGATTTCGCGTCTGTACTATTATACAGGCTTCCTAGCAGCTTACGTTCTGGGTTCTATGTACCCATAGGCCCCAAAGTAGTTCCTTTTTGAGGTTCATATTTAGAATCCTACAAGGTAATCCCAAAAAGGAACTACTATAGGGCATATGGGTAGAGCCCATTCTGTAGAATTGCGGGTCGGTGCAGCGAAGGAGATGGCGTCTTTGGCCCCGAAATCCCCGACCCGAAAACCCTCAACCCTTGAACCCTGCACTCTGCATCTTGGATGCAAAACCCTATAACTCTATAACCCCCATAACCCTAAACCCCTGAAGCCCTATAGCCTAAACCCTAAACCCCTAAAGCCATAAACCCTAAACCCCTAAACCGTGCACCCAAAACCCAAAGCTCTCAACTCTATAGCTGACTCTGTCAGGCTATGCGCTGAGAGCGGGTTCATAGTAATCTAGTAGTTGGGGCAGCGCGAGGCTTACGAATTGCTGAGTTGTTCCTCCGGGACCCAGACCCTGAACCCTAAACCCCAAAACTTTCAGTGAGAATCCTGAAGCCCAACCCAAAACCTCCAATATCCCTTATATAAGGAATATACCTTAAATCTTATCAGGGTTCCTAATTGATTTCAAGGTATATTCCTTAATTAAGGGGTTTTGGAGGCTCTGGGAAGCACCTACTTACTACAGGGGCCTGAAAAACTAGAATTGGGTTTTGGGCTTTATCGTATAAACCGAAGAAGGAACCCTGAGGAATGGCATTGGTAGCTATTTAGGCCCCTATGTTACACCCCAAGCCAAAAGGCCTAAACCTAGAACTCCGACAGAAGCCTTTCCCTAAACCCTAAACCCTAAACCCTAAACCCTAAACCCTAAACCGAGTAGCATAGAATCCTCATCAAGGCGCATAAATCCTACACCCTTAACTTTAACCTAAACCCTAAACTCTAAATGTTAAATTCTAAACCCTAAACCCTAAACCTAAACGCTAAACTCTAAACCCTAAACCTAAACGCTAAACTCTAAACCCTAAGCCCCAGGAATCCCCTGAGTGCCGCGCCGACTTTGGCATCCGCCCACAGAGCTCCAAGCGCTCGGCTGTAGGCAAGTAGCCATCCTCGGGCAGGGATAAGGGGGTTTGAGGGTTTTAGGGGGTTTGGGTTTAGGGTTTAGGGTTTAGGGTTAGGGTTTAGGGTTTAGGGTTTAGGGTTTAGGGTTTAGGGTTTAGGGTTTAGGGTTTAAGGTTTAGTAGTTGAGGGTTTGGGGGGTTTGGGG